GGCGGCAGCGCAGCTTCCCTCGCCGGAGGTGGCGGCGGCTCACATGGTGGTGCGCGGCCGCGTGGTGCATCGAGGGCACCACCACCGTGGTGGAGTGGAGCGGGGAGCGCCGGGGCTGGCTCGAGGTGGGCCCTTACCCGCCTGGTCTCAAGGCCGGCACGGCGTGCGCAGTCGAGCAGCGGCAGCGACGGGCGCGTGGTGGTGACTGGCGCCATCGAGTTCGAGGAAGGCTCCGGCGGGCACGCGTTGTGGGTGTTCGACTTCAAGTACAAGAACTGGACCCTGGTGCACCCTCCTCCGCAGTTCGCCAGCTTCGTCCGCTCCGGCGAGCTACTACTTGCAGCGGCCTGCGGGAGCGAGGTTGACGAAGTCCAGGGAGACGGGGGAAGGGCCTGGGCGGTTAGGAGAAAGAATGTTGGGGGTGTTTTTGCTTTTTGACCCATCCAGCGCACTTTTTGCAAAATGTTATGCCATGTCAGCGAAAAACGGGTATCATCTGTCATAAACGCACTTAACCGAGCGAAATCCGCCGATCAATGGTTTTTGCAGAATAATTACGCAAGATGTGGTGTTTTCTGTAGAGAAACTGTATCCTAGTGTTTTTCGCAAACCTAGCCCTCAAACCGGTGGTTTTACGCAATTTACTCCTAGGAGTATATCTCTTGTAAATATATGATCTTAGAGATAGCGTGCATATCCTTATCTCTTTCGAGCAACTACCTTTGCACGAGGTATTGCAGGCCCTATCCCTTCGGGGTCCCAAAGCACCTTTTGCCGAATTCGATTTTTCCACACCTACAGGATTTGTTTGGAAATTAATTGAAACAACCGTTCAGCAGATCTTAGACATGCATTGAGTCATCCTATGTTCCAATCATTATTTTGATATACCAATGTTCTCATTAGAGACTGATTAACTTTGAATATCCACCTAGAATAAGAGCTACACTTAATCACAACTGAACAACTGGACTATGGGTTGCCACAATGACAACTCGCATGGGTCTTTCTGATACGACCAAAACATATGCAGGTTTTATTTGAAGTTTTCATGACATTTCCTTATCAAAACATGCAATGTTATGGCTTTATTTGGACAAACCATGTTGCATATGGCCAGTTGCAAGTCTATGTTTTCCGAAATTACATGCACTTTTGTACCTTAGAAAAAAAATATAAGTAGGTTTGAGCATAACTTTTAGAGGATGCCACACCTGCCAAACATGGGTCTGGGTAGCCATGACGGCACAAATGAGGCCCACACAGCCTTTCACATAGGATGTGTGGCCAACCCACATGGGCCCCATAGAGGGACATTGGGTCTCTCCATTCGCCGCATGATCTATTTATGCCCCTGGTCGATGGTCCAATTATCGTGCAATTCTTCAATGCTGCCACTTCGCGATCCGAGACGAAAGTGTCTGCAGCCCTGCGTCAGCACCCCATTGTCGGGTTAATTCGCCTCCTTCCGCGTCGGCCATTGATTCGCTGCTCCCATGATAAGGTGTGAGTAGTTCATCTGCTGGACTACGACGGTATTGTCACACTAGCATCTTCTCTCTCATGACTCTATACAAAGATCGCTTCCCTGCTAGATACAAACTGTTGCACTTGGGGTCCCAATGGAAGCAAGTAGACTCCTTCCCATCTCCCTCGGTGTATTTCCTATCAAATTTTGTGATAGCCCTTTCGTGAATGGGTCTAACAGATTCTTTGCAGTTTGTGGTATATATCACTCTAGAGTCTCTCGATTTCATAACATATTTCAGTCTTCTCTTTGAATGCATTGAGGACTTCATATTATCCTTAGAACTATTCAATTTGACACTTACATTTTGATAGTCGTGAGGATAGCCAAAATTGATTTCTCAACCACTGGCAAGTCCATAAAAAGCTCAGGAAGTTGTTCCGCTTCAACAGTGGTTCTATCCAATGTTGTCAGTTCAGCTTACACTCTTGACCTCATTAAGATGGTTTGCTTACTCCCCCCGCCTCCCTCCCCGAAAAAATTGGTACAGGATTTCCATGAAATAGCGCCACTTCCAAGTGTGGAAAATTTTGTGGCCTTTATCTCATAAGCATCGGAGATCAAATGAACCCACATTTCCCTTTAGATTGTGCATCACTTTTTTCTAGAGCACATCAATGACATCTCCAGGTCCCGTTCCCGGCTACACCCAGGTGGGGACTCGATGGGAGGTAAGGATCATGGGTCTTATGGTTGTAGGGAGATATTTTCCACTTAAATCATGAGATCGCCTAATGTAAGGGATTCCCAAATCCCGATGGATAGCTACCAAACTAACGGTCATAGCCCGCATGTATAAATAGAAGGCAAAACCTCCTCCAACATCACGCTGATAGGAAAATTGCCATCTTTTGTCAACTTGTGATTTGGATTACAGCAGGTGCACGGTTGTACATGCTGGTACAAGGCTCTTTCAATATTGTTTCTCTTTTGGAAAACAAGAGTTACCCAGTCAATTAGAGGACAACCGAGCAATTCAGCAGAAATAGTGCATGACAATATTAACAAGCTTAGCTTTCCCATCATTTTGATAAGTAGAGTACGATGATATTTACAGTTAATTGCCATGGCAAAAGAATGAGTTTAACTGTTACAGCACTGTATATATTGCAAATGTAGATTACAAAAACATAAAAAAATGTAAGAAAGAAATATCGCTGTTGCTTGTGTTCATGAACCTGTAAATAATTGGATCACTGCACTTCAGCTTCAGAACTGATGCAAGACTTCCCAGAAGACTAGTGGACCAGAAGACTAGTGGATGGAAATCCACGCATTTTGTTCAGATCTGTGATTAGATTGTCATGGGGGGCAGCGACTCGATGCGGAAATGTTGAATCTCTTTCCTTTTGGATCCTTCTCCTATATTCATATATTATATACATCAACAAGATAAACTTGTGTTCCAATCATGTGTCTTTGCTTTAGCCCTTTGCCATCCGTTCAGCGAACCATGTTTTCCAGTCTGTAACGTTTTCATCACCATTTGCCACCTGAAGTAACACGGAAGATAAGAAGCTGGGCATAAACCCTTTCCTCGTGCACCGCAGAAGAGTGAACAAGGTTCAGACATGTATAATTTATACCTCAACCAAGCTGGGGAATTGCCCAAAGCCTATTTCAAACATATTAGTCAAAATTATTAGGCTATGATACCATGTATTGATTATTTTTTGACACATTCTAAATTTGTGGGTGTGATTTGTGGCATTGTCCATGACATTTGGATTGTGCTTGTGTGGCACCAACATTTTTAGAATCCTAGATCTGGCACTGGGTTCATAGAACACTAGTTTCATCATATATAGCAGCGTATTGGAAATGAATAATGTTCAAGCTCCTACATGAGCCCTTCTTGAGCTAATTACCTCGAATATGAGTGTTGTCTGGGGAATGGCATCCAGGGCCTCCACACAAATTGTAGCAGCATCCTCTCTGCTTATTTTCCCCTTGGCTGCTATACCCTGTGTATTTCATGGACCATATGAAAAGATACTCTTGCCTCAAAAAAACAAAAGAAATATAATTATCTATATTTACTATGTCTATGTTATGTGCAAATTACTTTCTTTTTGCGAGAAATTTGCAAATTACATGATACGTCCAATGAACCTGTCTGGCTGTGTGGTTTATTGTACAGCTTTAGCTTTACTCACTGAAAGTTGGTCTAAATTACGCAACGCTATTGGAGAGATAAGGTAGCTTTGTGTGCTGGCAGTCTGGTACCTCTGTAAAATTGAACCCCTTCTCACCACCCGGAGTGGTCTCCAGAGAAGCACTCCTGACTATCGTAGATGGGATGCCAGATGCAAGAACCACCTCTTCATCTCGCTCAGCTAGCTTCCTTAGCTTGCTGTTCATAATAGCTTGGAGCCCACCGCTATTTCTGTAGACAGATAGCTGCATTTTATCAAGATCTTTTATGGTAGTGACTAAAAACTAGGCTGAACCGGGTAACCCGAGGTTACAAGAGAGGAGTAAACCTGGGATAGCAGGACAATGTGTTCGACACCTTTGAGGTCAATCTGGTCAGAAAAGAAGCCATCCTGTTGAAAATTTGCAATAGAAGGTCAAGGCAATCAAGGCTTTGTATGCTGCGGAGAACTTTTTGCCACAAGGAAAAGTCTTGAAACAGTTCTGACGTAATTGTTGAACACACAACTAAATTACAAAGATAAACATTGAAGAAATCAATCCGTAAGTACCACCAGATACACTGTACAAACTTTCGATTCTCATAAGTCTACATGGATAAACCTCATGCCACACAGGAATCTTCAAACACAAGAGCATGTCTTAATAACGCCAAAAGGTGGGGAAGACAAAAAATACAGTGATGTACTAACATCAAACGGATAGCTTGAGTAACTCATTGATGCGACAAGCAAACAATAATTGTGCATAGAACGAAATAGTAGGATTATGCCAGAAAAGTTTCATAAATGAATGAACAATGAACATTGAGTGGATACGTACGTCGGTTGGACAAATTACAGCACGAACACCCCTTAATGTTTTCCTTGTGAAGGACTTGTCTCTGATGTTGCCAACCATGCACTACAAGGAAACCAAAACAAGGAATGTTAAGACAAGTCACCGTATTTATCAGAGAAAAATTGATGAAAAATAGCATACGATAAATAACCAGAATTTTTTAGGTGAGAATTAAAAATTGTCACCTCCACGTAAGTTCCAAAAGCTTCTCCAGTTGATCGTTTGTCCTTCACTAATGCTTTTATTCTGGCCCTTTTCAGAATTAGTGACAATATCACCATCTGAAAATACAAGCAAATGAAAGTTCAGGAATTGCGAAAATTTATCAAGCTGTACATATGCAATTTAGACATTGCGATATTCACTGAGAAATAGCAACAAAGAACTCTGGATATTAATAATGGGAAAAACATGAAGGCGACATCCGAGGATATATGAACACCAGTTGAGTCTTTCTAAAATGATTTGAATATACTAGAGTAGTTTCCCAAAAAGAATTTGCAGAAAGAACTCTTTTACGTTGGTAGAATTAAAAGTTTACATTGTAGAGAAAATCTTGTGTAAGTGCCAAAATATTGCCTTAAGAAACTGATAGTTTGGCTTTGAACACACATGTCAGTAAGAATAGAATATACAGTATATTGTTCAGCTCATAACACAAGAATACAGAAGAAATTGGAGTATAGTGACTAGTGACATACTGAAGATAGGACCGGATAGCATTTTCTGCACTGATTGTAAACAGGAACTTGAAGAACAAATCAAACCTGTCCAATCTCACTGTCGCCATTGGTAACTAGCACGGCATCTCGAGGCTCCTCGATATCTATTCTCATCCGAAAACATGCCAACAAATAAGAAATAATGTCAACAAGATGGTATACACATTTATGGATCTTTTTGTCTATACACCTGAAGACTCATCCTCCTCGCCCTCGGCACCCCCATCCTTGGGAAGCAAATCGGGTGCTCCATACCACTTCCTCAACTTCGGACCGCCTGTACAGAAAGGTTTCAGAGAATACAACCTGACAGTCAATAGCAGAAAACTTGCATGAATAGACTCAATCCAGCAAAATTTAATATTCGGCTTACCTCATTATGGAATATTGCATGTGTTTGTGCAATCATACATGTATTTGTGCATGAAATTGATTTACTTACTCAGCATGGGATTATCATTTGATGGAATGTAGTTAAGTATTATATATGCTTAAGGTAACTGGTCGATTATCAATGAAATACAATATACTTTGCATGATATTGGAAGACTGCCCAGGTACATTAATAGTTGGGGGGAAATAGATCATGGATTAGGTTACGGACCTAATAGCGACATACATGCTTAGTGGAATTTAGACATGATCATGATGATTGCTCACAGGTGTGACTACAAAGATAGAATCCATTCACATATGAACTATAACGTGATTGGTAGTTTAATCTGGACTCTATTTCGAAACTAGTTTAAATTTGGGAATCTTCTCTATATAAGAGACGTTTCTTTTGAAATGCAATATAAGAATGTCTCACCCCTTAGCCTCAGGTATGCAATTGGGAGCGGCACCACGGAAAAGTGCAGAAAAATAGGGTTAGACTACAAACATATTCCCACCAGCCATTACATATCAAGTATAAAAAGTTGATTCTTAGTGATCATTGCATCGTCCGTGCACAATCCGAACATGTAACCACTGCGTGTACAAGTGAAAGACTACTCTCTCTCGCTTATGTACTGCTCGCCGAGCATCATCGGGGAGCCACAAACCCGCGTTCTTGCCCCTATCACCTCCCATATCTACCTCCTTGCCCACAGCAGGCGTCGCTAGGCAAAGCCCGCGCAGCGTCGGCGCTGGCGGGGCTGCTCAACATCGGCATGGTTCTAGCGACACAGGCCTGGAGTGGATGCATGCATTGGCTTTCTCAGTGAGGCCTTGTTTTCATCGACGATGTTGAAACTCTTTGTGGTGCGACAACTCCCCTGTGGTGGGGCACGACGTCCTATTGGTATGGCTACGACTGGTCTTTAGCATCGAGGAAGCAGGGTAGCAGGCTCCGATGAGCCTGGATCTAGGAGATCTTTCTCTAGTTGTCGATTTTGCGGTCCCCGTCGGGCCGATGGGCCTGAGCTAGGCATATCAGATAGCTGCAAACGATTGGGGAGGGGAGTTCAGTGGTCCAACTAGTCTCGAAGCTTGGGCGGGTGGAGAGCAAGGCAGGATCGGGTGAAAGCTCTGCCTTTGGCTAATGGTCAGGGTAGGCAACAGAGACGCACTTAAACGCCGCTTCCTTCTTGAAGGCATCGCGAAGGATCTGGAGGTTGGTGCCCTCCGGTGGCGGTGGATGTCACTCGGTCGCGGTGGCACAACGTCTTCAATCCTGATGAAAGGGGATAGGGACCCCCTTCCCAGTGGCAGTGGCCTGACGGAAGTTGGAGACACCTGGTTACCAATGTCGTCGATGCTCTATCCCCCTTGCCTCTCTTCATCTTTGCTCGGTGCCCTGCCGCCTCGTCTTGAGCATCTAGATTCCGGAAGCTCTCCTTCTCCAACTAGTTGGGCGTGGACAGCGGCGGTGCAGCAGGCTAGATTTAGCCCGAATCTAGGTGGTCGCCCATTGTCCACCTTGCGATGTGAGGGGGGATTCTTCTCACCTAAATCTCGACGATGTGGCATCATTCTATCCAAGGCGAGGGGGTAGGGTCCCCCTTTGGTGATAGAGAAGGAAGATGTTGTGTCCCCTCCTTCCCTATGTGCTACTTGGTGCACTGTCCACCTTCGACGGTCGGCTATGTCCTGCCCTGCTGCTCCGACCTTGATTTCTATGATCGTAGCATGGAGTGCTTGGCATGTGCAAGCAGTAATCTTCATTTTCCTTTCCTTAGTTTCTTGTGGAGGCTGTAGTTGATGTTTGCTTTCCAGCGTCCCCCTTTGTACCAGTGTGGCCGTTGTTGTTTGAATCATGTGTTATAATTTCTGTCTGGTTGATGGCTATGTTAATTCAAAGTCGGGCTCTTCGCGAGCCTACGCTCTAAAAAAAGGTGTGGTGCTTGTCCTTCCTCCCAGACAACTCCGAGGGGGAGTGGCAACACCCTCGAGCACCACTTTTTCTTGAAGATGTCTCCAAGGCATGGTGCTCACCCTTCCAACTAGACAACCAAGAGGAGGAAACCTCATATTTCGCTGGAGTGGAACGATGGTGGTGTTTTTGCATCATGCTCCCCTTGGGGGTGTCGTTCTTGCAATTGTCATTGTTTGGAGGGGCCAATGGATGGTGTGAGGATGGTGATGGTCGTCTGGGCGAGCATAGCAATGATGACGGTGATGACCAATGTCGAGATAGCGGCAATGGTTGCGGTAGTCAGCCCTTCTACGTGTCCGCTAGATTATCTCAGTTTGTCCATTGATGTGCAGCCGAAGCTGGGGTGGTGGAGCCCGGTTGGTGACGATGACAGGTGATAGGTGGTGCATTCGGTGATCTTTTGCGGCCCCAGCCTTGCATATTTCTCCTTCGTATCTCGTCGTCAGAATTGGAGATGCACTGTCGGGCGATGCGTGTAGCCAATTGCTTGGCATGGATCTTCATGTGGTTTCTCACGGCCTCCATGATGTGGGCTTTGTCGACGGTCGGTTGTAGAGAAATTGCTGACGCTTGCTCAGGGAGAAACAGAGAAGTGAGGATGATGACACCAACGCTGTACTGCAACCTCACCTATGTATATATTCTTCGCAGCAGTGTTGTGATGTAGCTTTTGTGTGCCTGATTCCGTAGGCTGTGAAGGTTTTCACCTGGTTTCCCGCTAATTAACCGGGTAACTCTCTTCTTCTTAATTTCCCTTGTTTAAAAAAAAGATCATGTAACCCACTTTCCAGGCGACCAATATTTACCGAGCCCCAATATTTGCATTGGCACAAGAACACTGAACTACAGCTGACATAAATCTGGAGATGCATGAAGGAGCGCGCGGTAACAAGAGATATTTTGGACATTACCCTCGATGTAGTCGAGGATGCGATCGGTGAAGCTGGCGTCGTCCCTGCCCTTGGACCGCGCGACGGCGAGAAGCGGCGGCCTTCTCGGCGAGAAGAACAAGGGGCGATTGGGACGGAGAGGAAGGGGACGTGCCGGCTGCGGCGTGGACGGCGCGAGCAGGGGAGGAGCGCGCATCTGGGGAGCCGCCGCCGCCGGCGGATTTCGCGTGCGTGCGTGAGTGACTGGTTGGTTTTGCGGCGAGGAGGTGGAGGATAAGGCGATTGCACTGCGAGGGTGGAAAGCCGCGAAACTCTTGGTCCAGAGGAAGGGCTGGGACTTGGGCCTGGTTGGGCCACGGCCCTGTAGCACGCTAAGCCGCCGTCGGGCTCGGGCCGTGTCAGTCCGTCTTCTATTCCTTCATGAACAGGCCGAGCAAGCTATAGAAACCTAAGTTTCAGAACAAGCACAACAGCAATCAGAGTGGCGCAGCGGAAGCGTGGTGGGCCCATAACCCACAGGTCCCAAGATCGAAACTTGGCTCTGATAATTCTGTTTTAAATTTTTCAAATTTGAAAATTCCATTCTTTTTGTTTCATTGAGCCAAATCTGTGTACATTACTGTTTTTCTTCACTCGCTTTGCTGCATTTTGTCAATCTCATGCCGAGCTGATCATCTTTTCTTACTTTCCTCAAACACTGGAAACTATTAGTATATGGAGTGTTGTTCGGGAAGAGCAGGAGCAAAAGCAGAGCCCTTCTCAGCGAGCCAGCATCCACCCAAGCATAGTCATTTAACCTTTTGTTGACTTGTTGGTTCGGTTTCGTTGATTACTTGCCTGCTTTTGGGGCTGGCATCGTTTGTTCCAGTTCTTCAAGCTGAATCAAAAAGACTCATACTATATGTCAAAAAGACAACAATCCTTATAAGCAAGAAAAAACATGTCAGTTGTCATAGAGCACTATGTTAATGAGAAAGACTGGTAACATGAATCCAATCTGGTTTATAATCACCTTCTTCTCCAGTTTCAGCCAACATGTCACTGAAGAACTCAATCTCATTTTCTATAGCAGATTTTTGTGAGCCCCCTTGCTTCAGAAGCAGATGCATCATTAACAAAGCTTCCGGAGCATTTTTCAGGTTCTGCATACGTGACTCGCATAGTGAGATAGCCGTTACACAATATTGGATCGCACCTCCAAGCATGTACCCCAATTCACCAATATGCACACGTTTCTAGGACTGAATTAGAGGAACTATTTATGGGACTGAATTAATAAACAGATTAACAAAGCCAATATATACAAGATACAAGCATTATCTGAACTCACATTTTCCATGTGCATATGCAATAGCATGTGCACTTTGTGCAAGTGAAGGAACCTGCGCTAAGATAAGGATACATAACAGCGCTTGGGTTACAAATATGTTGCTTTGTTATACTACTATAAAGCAGAGGCAGACAACTGACAGTCATTACCACAGGGAGGACACAGTTCGACAAATCGACAATGGTCAGCCTCAATCGAATAATCCAAGAGAGCTGAACCTTTGAAGCAGTAATCAATCGAGCAGTCTATGCCATCTGTAAAAACCATCCAAGATCCAACGGTTGCATGCAGGACAAAACAAACAAAACGGAGACCACCTCTTACATGGAGACCTCAGCTAGAGCAAAGACTTTCGATTTTCTCTCCATAGCGTTGTCTGGGTTCTTCTCAACTATTGCTCTTGCAGAATTGAACATCTTGCAGGCCCGAACAAAATCAGAATCAGCTCCATCACCTGCCATGTTATCATCATCCTTGCCATCACCAGTTTCATCCTCCTTATCTTTGCCATTTGAGTTTTGCCCGAGGTATTAAT